AAAAAAGAGACATTAAGTTTAAGATCATCATTACTTAAAGAATACAACTGTTGTACGACTTGACAGTATTTTCAATGCAAATGTATTAAAATTATTTTATTGCGGTTTTACTACCTTAATTTTTGTTTATTTATAACTATTATTCTTCGTTAATTATATCAAAATAACCGTTAAATATTCAACAAGTAGTAACACCAGCTTGGCGATGGATAAACGTACAATTTTTATAATATTAAATTATTATCATCATTAGCACTACACAAACATTGAACAATGTTTTATGATGCCTTTTCGGGCCCATAGCCCATTATAAAGAATTATAATGGCTATGTTGAAAAAAATATATAAATATATTATGAAAAAAAAATGCTTTTAGGGAAATGGGCTAGGCACTTACTTACTCAAACAAAATGTTACCTATATATATATTTTAATAAAACATTTCTGAGCTCTAGCCTACAGGTAAACAGACATTATAAGCGAATTACCCAAAATGTAAACCACCGTGTACCGGAGAGGAAAATAAATAAATAACGACTGTAGAATATGCGGTTTAAGACTAAATAAAAAACACTTTAGATCCGGAAACAAAATATTATAATAACATCAAGAAATACTATTTGTTTTTATAGTCGGTCGTGTCTTGTTTGGTTCAAAACATAATTAATGCTGTGAAAAATTAATAGAACATATTATTTTATAAAGAGTTAAAGAAAAAATATGTCTTGCAGAATATATTTCAAGCAACATTTTGTGAAATATAGCAACTCTATTTAAAAAGTACTTTTAGACTAATTTTTTTTGAAGTTTTCATACCTAACAGTGTTTGAATTTTTAAACTTACCAAATAAAATACTTGTCTTGTCATTTAATATCTGTTATTTTTACGGCAAATTAATTTTTAAAAATTCATAGTGAATACACCCGACGTTGTATCCGTGTCCAGTGATTTCTGAAATGGTGATTTACATTATGTGTCGACTTGAATACAATCTCGAAGAGGATAGATGAAACAAAAATGATGGATGATGCCTTTGGCAATATCCATTAAATTTGCATGAAATGACTAGCAAGCGTTATTCGTCAAAATTTCTCGGACCAGAGCCTGCTAGGAATGAAGATAATGCGCGTTTCGGTATAGTACATCATTAATACAATTGCAGAATTGTATTAACACAAAATGCCGTGACAGCTTCAGCCATTAGGTCGAACGCAAACACAGTTGACAGTAGTCCTCCATTATTCCATTAGGGTTATAAATATTCCACAACTTTGCAATTCTCTGAATCTAAATCACAAACAACTCGGCTGTGACGCCTAGTTATCAAATATTTAAATGCCACACATGACCTCGTTTAAGCCAATGTGTTTTTTTGTTTTAACTTTAACATAACATTGTATACGACACATCTTAGAAATGATTAAACTAAAACAGTATGATTCAAACAAAAGCTAAAACTGAGCAGATTTTATGATTTCCACTTAATGATGTTAAATAATATATGATATATTAATTAGGTTTAAAATCAATAATTGATATAGTTAAGCTCACCGGTAATATTAATTTAACGTTTCTTTTATGCTTGTGCCTATGATAAAGTAGAGTTCTGAGAGTTGAGAGACAATATTTTTGACAATACCTAAACTGATAGGTATACTATATTTTTGAAAATTTTACCACAGGCAGAATTTTTGGCCTTCTTTTAAAAAACTTAATAATCATGCGGAAATTGATTGAACAAGATATATTTTTTTACTATAACTTATGCTAATCAAAATTTGTTACATCAACACTAGTTGACAATATGGTTTGTCGTTAAAAAATAGACTATGTTGTTTGCAAACATTAAAATAAAACTATTAAAAATAGGTTCACAATATTTGTATTTTGACATTTTATGATCAATTTAAAAAAAACAAATAATTTATCAGATGTATTTAATCTAGACCAAACGCGGTAGGTAATAACAATATTAATGTTATCTCATAGCAATGTTTTTTTTTTATGTAATTATATATGCCATAACACAACAACTGTGTTTTACTTAACTTGATATTATGTAGTTTTTTGAATGAAACAAATTTAGGCAAATAAAAAACGATTTTATGATACAAAACGATGGTTCTGCCACAATTAGTCATGTACTCGAATTTCAAATAATTCGAATTTTTTTCACTTGTCACCTTTTTGCTTGGAGCCTCAACGCTTATACGTGCTTATAATAAAAAATATAATAATATAAATATCTTGTTCACTCACCCGACTGCTCTATTTGGACGACCTAACCTGACCCGACCCAACCTAACCTGGGCAGGTATACCGTTCGATGGGGCGAGCGTGGTGGTACCGAATGTAGATATATTATATTATATTATGGAAGCGACAAAGGTACAAACAACTTCAACGCGTTAGACCGTCAATAGACGATTTGACAACCGGTAACAATTGATAACAGTGTACTCGTTTTGGAAAGCCACTCGGCCGGTGCACACTGACGACGACCACCACGAGGGTAGTAAACGGGGAAAACCCAGCGAGGGGCGCGCACTGGCGACACGTGTGCACGGGGCGACGGCGGCGACACGACTGGACGTAGAGCAGATTAGAACTTTTACCCGAGCGGCGCCAAAGGGGGGGGTGCGGTGTGTATCTGTTGTCGGAGGGGCGAGGGATAAGGGTTGCGACCACCTGCGCCCGCTCGCCTGTCGACCTTCATTAGTCAGAGGAAGTTATAACACCTATTTATGAAAGAGTTAATTGATTTATGTGTCATTTATATTAAGTTTAATAATTTGATATACATATTATGTGGTAATATAACTAAATGTAAATTTAAAAAAAAAAATTTAATTTAAATTTGGATGTATTTAAATTGTCGTTTGTAAATTTGACTACAAAATATGTTATGCATGTTAGATATGTTTGAACTGTTCCAGTGACTATTTTGTATTTTATAATTATAAGTTAACTCGGTACGCAGTTATAGCTTTTATTATGTTAAAAACGTAATTTCCTTAATAAAATAGAAAAAAAACGAGACTTAGAACAGTCAAATTGGCTAACAAATAGCTATTTTATATTATTTGTTTTGAAATGTTATTAGTTTTGAATTTTTCTTCTTGTAAACAATTGAACGTGAGGTTATTTTAGTTTTTTAAGTATGTCTTAAAAAAGTATTCACCTTATGTATAAATTTCATTACCAACAGCTAAGAACCGATTTTTTGACGATTACCTACATATTTTAAGGGGCAAAATATAGGCAACATATTATACAATATGGGTTTACTAAATTTTGCTCATGACCATTAATTTTCAGCTTAATATTTTGTAATTTTTTTTTTAACTTTCTCGTAACATTTTTAAGAAATAAAGGTCTAACAATATTATAAAATAATAAATCCAACCAGGTTGTAAACAATTCGCATTATTAAACAATTGTAAATAAACAAATTATAAGAAAATTGATTTTCCTTATTTTTTTTTAATAACACAATTTAACTTCAAATAATATATAGTACCATAATTTTTAGTTAATTTAAAAAAAAAGATTATAATTATAAATCTGCGAGTAACAAGTTTTTTTTATTTAAGTTCACATTTAAAAAAATAATATGCCTAATTGTCAATATTTTGATTGTTGTTAAAATACAAAAATACAAATATAAATCAAATGTATCACATAAAAAACTCACATTATTATTTGTAAACTATTAAAATGATTTAATGCCTTAGTTATTCGCATTTTTAAACAAGAGAACTCAATACATAAACCTAATGATAAAAAAAAATAATTTCTTTATAACACAATTGGCAATAGGATCAATCAGAAAGTTTTTTGAGTATAGGTTTGTACAAAAATAAAAAACATACAATACATAAACCTAATGATAAAAAAAAATAATTTCTTTATAACAGAATTGGCAATAGGATCAATCAGAAAGTTTTTTGAGTATAGGTTTGTACAAAAATAAAAAAAATTAACAATAAATCGTACAAATCTATTTAAACTGGGGAAAAAATCAGGTTTCGCTTAACACATTTAGTTATAATAACGTTATCAGAACACTATGTATTAATTAATGATAATTTGCGTACACTTTGACTTGGTTTCAGAATCCAATTGTTTAGTAGTTGTAATGTGACTCCCATTGACAGCATCTGATTTCCATTAGATTGACACTAAAACAAATTTTCTCATTATTAATTAAATATAGATATTCATAAATTAATAAAACGGCATACCTAGTACCAGGTACTGTTTTGCGAGAGCATCTTAATCTCATCAGTTTAAGACTTTAATGATGACCGTTTGGCATTGACAATGATCATTCGGATTGAGTCCTCTTGCCAGGTATGCCATGAACATCTTTTTTATTCCCATTCAAGCAATAAAATTGCATAAAACTATAAATACTGAACAGACTGGAGAGAGACACAAATTGTACTTAAAGGGTCTTGTCACCGGTGCACGAATTATCAAAATTACATAGTTTACAGTTGCAAGAGGTACAGTGTATAAGTTAAGCAAAACTTTACACTAAGTATGGAATACAATTAATTTAAAACATAAAACCAAAAATACTGTCGTTGATACTTCTGATAAAATAAAAAGACAGTTTAACATAAAATAAGAGTTCTAACGTGAATACCGTAGGTATAAAAAAAAAAATAAAAAATGAGTAACAACATAATAGATAATGGTATAAAAATGTTGACAAAAAATGTGAGTGGTGTAAGGAGGGAAAGGCTATCCTTTATAATCCTCTATAATATAGTAAACAATTTAGATAAGTAATAAATTTGTAACATAATTGTCAGTCTTAGATAAAAATAGGAATAGACAAATTTTTACCATACATAGTACATAAAAAAAACAGTCGATTTTTTGGACACAGCCAAATTAGAGAGATAAACAAATAAATAGGTATGGACTAAGTTGATTACATTTAAAACAAATTTTAACAATTTTTTAAAAACTTATCCATATAAGAGCATACTATAGGAACGATATATAATTTACAAAATAATTTTTCTAATACTTATTAACCTCCATAATTCCGAACCCGATAATTTTGATTAACAATAATTTAATGAAATCAAAATTCTACACAATTTTTTTTTAAACATTTTAAATCATACGTTTTTTGGAAATTTTAGTTTAGACAAAAAACAATTATATAACACTTTTGTGACACGTGTCTTATTTTTAAACATAAGTTATAATTCTCTCTCTCTCTTATTAAGGACTATGGAGATGAATTAATAGAGATAGTGGTTTAATGATAATAGATTAGAGATAAGACATTCAAGATAGTAGATTGCAGGACATATGCGTGTGTATTGATGTATCTGGATGAAGTGCGAATACTCTGGAACCTGTTCTTACCTCGAACCTTAATTATTTAGGAAGGTTATAGGTATGAACCCTCATCACTACTGTTGTCGGTAGTGTTACCATCATCATTATTGTCAGTAGTACTACTATCAACACTATGGTCGATGTCATCGTCATCGACACTGTCGTCGATATTATCATAATTACTGATCATGACTTCCCTACGATAAAACCGTTCTAACGATTCTATATCCGATTCGTTTATAGGGTTTTGTTTGCGCAGTTTATCAAAAAATCTTCGTACGACTTTGTGGTCCTCGTGAAACAAAAGTTTTGCCAAATGTGGTCTAGCTTCGTTTTTGTTGTAATATTTTTGAAATCTACCCAGGACCGCTTCGGCGACGAAATATTGAGCATACGTTCTGTGCATGAACTCAAATTTGTTATTGTCATTTAACTTTATCAATCCTATACGACTGGTTTCTCCTAAATTTTCACTATAATATTTTATAGTACTTTCTTGGAAGAAATGTTTGTATGTATTTTCAGTCAACAACTCCACAAACGCCAGTACCCAATTGTTTTTGGACAACGCTTTTGTAAAAATCTTTTTGGTGTACTCGCCGACGTCAATTGTAGTTCCGGTTTTTTCTTTAAAGTATATATCGTAACTTTTATCAATAATTGTCTTATGTATGATCGATAGGTCGACATCTCGAGATATGGCTTCAAGACCTTGGACGATTTTATCACAATTTTCTGCATTTTCAAAACTAGTAGTTTCCATATATTTGTCTATGTTATTTTGAAGAACCTCTGCGCACGAATACAGTTGTAACGGTGATCTGATAAAACCATCTCTCTCGTCTCTCTCGTTATCAAGAAATTGATTGATATGTTGTAGTACATTTCCTAAAAATGTCGAACTCACCCCAAAGTGACGGTTTAACACGCTCTCTTTTGCAAACAAGCTAAGATGCATCATCAAAAAAGAACTAAAAATCTTCTTGATTTCTTCTTCTTCAAATTGTTGAAATTTGGTATCGATCAAATCGAAATCGCTTATCATGGTTTTTGTTATTTTAATATTTCGTGAAGTTATTAACACGGTAGCTTTGCCCTTCAAAAACTTTAGCAATTTGAGTACTTTGTCTCGGTCTTGCCTGCCGTCACTTTTAATTTCATCAAACCCATCGAATAACAGTAACAGGGGACACTCGATTTTTTTACTCGATGATAATTGATAATGTAATAGATTTTTTATTAGTACTAAATTTGTGTCAAAATTTCCCGTGTCCAATAGAAATTGGACAGTTTTTTCTTTATTGGGGAGGGATTTTGGATGCAATCTGTTTATGGCATTTTGACAATCTTTAAGGTTTATGCGGAATACCCAGTTTTTAGTTTGTTTCTCATCGGCTAGCTTGTACAAGGTAGTTGACTTGCCCATCCCTGGTTCATCGATGAGTATAATGGTTTTTTTGTTTTCTAATTTCTTTGAAAACTCAGCCTCTTTCAAATCTTTAGTGCTCTTCTCCCTATCTGTATATCGATCATCCAAACGATCGCCAAAACCTTGGTGACGAACAATCTGATTTGATGTTTTCCTTACTTCGAGACAATAAACGTTAGTTTTATTCTCCTCGGTATTACAATCCTTTTTTAATATAGTTTTCAACTTATTATACGTCTCTTTGGCCTTACGTTTGGTATTCAATAGCATAACTTTATCTTTTTTTATGTTATCTTCTATCTTACTCCATTCGTCCTTGTCGTCCATTTGTCCACAGAGTATTTCTCTTAGTTTATTTTTATTATTTTTTTTTTGTTGAAAATTAAAAATAAAATATTCTTCGAGAGAATCGTTGGTCAACAAATTTTTTATATCATTTTTAATTACTTTTTCATCTCCATACACAAAGCGTCGATCAAAGTAAAACTTAGGATTGTATAGATATTTCCAAGTCAATTGATTATCCCAATTAATCCAATAAACTATCTTCTTTGGATTGTTACGACACAGCTGTTTAAAATAATCAAAAACAATATTTGTGTCTTTTATTTTTAAAATTCTCACTGGTTTATCAGCTGCAATATCATTGAATATAGAATCATTTATTATGATATTATTTATTTCACCTACTAGATCATCAATGTTTACAGTCTCTTCTGTTGAAGGTAATTTTTTAATTTCTTTCGATAATATGTTTTTTATTGTTTGTATTTTCTTAGTACTCGTTATTAAAAAGATTCTGTCTGTATGCATTTGACCAATTTCGTGGTTTCCTTCGTTATTAACAACAAACAAATTAGATACAAGATTACTAACTAAAATATTGTCGTTATATTCATAGTATGCTTTGTCCCAGTCACTTATTGGTTCAGGTCGTTTACCTATACTAATTACTTGGTTTTTAATTATTTTAACAAACGTGTCCGAATCTATTACGGACTCGGCTTCTCCTACTATATCTTCTTTATTTATTAAACAATTTAGTAAAATGTTCTTCCCTTGTAAAATTATCGAGTTACTTAAAAATTCTTTTTTTGAACTTACAGTGAGATTTTTAAAAGAAGCTTGGCCTTGTATTTTTTCGCATTTATGTCCATTATCTGCCAACTCGTCAATTAAAGGATAATCGTTTTTTTCAGTAAGAAATATAATCTTTTTGCTAGCGTTTTTCTTTATAGTATCCGCCAACTTTCTACACAATGACGAATCTGCTTTTTCAGTATTACAAACAATAACCATCAAGTTGAACTTTTTCTGATCTCCGAAACCTTTCAATACAACTGACAAAAAATATTTCTCATCCAATAATTGTTTCGAATACAAAAATATATGACCATCGTCTCGGGTATATTTATGTAATCCTGAATAATTATGTTTTTGTAATTTCTGAAATGTGTGTACCAACCTTATGCGACCAAGTGGCAAAGGGTAACAAACAATATTTAAGATTTGTTGTTCATTATTATTTAAAAAAAGATCCAATTGGTTATATTCCTCAAACTCAACATAGTACTTTTTGGAAATGCCATCTGCATCTGCAAAATAAGACTTATTTATACCTTCTACAGCCCAAAATGAAAGGTTTTCCTTTATTGAATTAAAAAGTTGTTTTGCCTTGTCGACAGTATAAAATGTTCCAATTCTGTCTGCCATCCAATCAAGGAAATCCTTTTGATACATGGAGTTAAAGGCTTTACCGTCTAGTTTTTGAAATTTCTCTTTTATTTCGTCTTCTAAGAGAACATCGACTTTTTTTCTATTAGGATAGTTTACTACAAATTTCAATTTTTCAAAAAAATTTCTCACATCTTCATCATTATGTAAAATGGGCAATTTTTTAGAAAGAGCTCCTTCCTCAAATATTTGTAAGTTCTTCGTGTCTATTTTAAATTCATACTCAGAAATTAATTCAAATTTATCGTGTAATTTTTCTTTTAAATTATTTCTTAATTCGATTACAATTTCTGGCAAATCATTTGAAAGTAAAAATATTGTGCTAAAACGAACTTTGTTGTTTTTTTTTATAAATACATCTTTTGAAACGTTGGAAATATGCTTTTTAAACGCCTTAAGTTCTTCCCCCGCATTAATATACACAATTTTTTTCTCCTCATACTTAACCATTAAATTGTATAATTGATTCGTTAATTCTTGGATTTCAGTATTTTTAGGATTACAATCACTTTCAACTTTCGTTTTGAACTCATCTACAAATCCTTTGGTAAAGTAAATTTTTATTTTATCTAATTTTTCAAGGTTAATATCGTTGTCACTTATAATTTTATCAATTAAAATTATCCGAAATAGTTTAAATATAGGAGGTATGTGTTTGTTATTATCTTCTCCTTGTACAAAACCCTTTTTAAATGATTTCAAGTTTTTATCAATAACTTCCTTCGCTAATGCAATGTGATTATTTGGAAATTTAAAAACTGTAAGTTCTGTATTTTCATTAATAGCACTGGCAAGCTCTTCCGCTAGTATTTCTAATTTTTCTATGTTATCTATTGGTAAAGTATTTTCTTCGAAATCCGAAGATAAAGTAAACTCATGATCTTTCAACTGTTTAAGTGTTCTTCCTGTGTGTTTTTTCAAAGTACTCCAAAACGTTGTATCCTTTATTGTTGTGTACATTTTTTTAGTTTTTGGATTAATTAATAAAGCGACGTGATCATTTTCTAAATCTCCGACTTCTTTATAATTTATAATTTCTTTATTTCCATTTATAACACTAGCAAGATTTTTTGTCAAGTTTTCTAATTTGTCACCGGTCGGTAATTCATTTACTCCAAAGTCTTGGGATGCTCCAGCGAATTTGAGTTCCTTATTATTATACGATTCTCTAAACACTATTTCTTTTAATAAAGCCTTTCTAAATTGTAGGGTTCCTTCGGATTGTTCAGTCCCATATAAAAACTCAGTTTTAAAATGTAGTTGATAATGTTCGCTTTTTTTATCACGACTAGACGTTTGCTTCATGCAGAATACCTCGTTTACTAATGGATAGTCGTACTCCTTGAAGACGCTTGTTCTGTCAATTGGTTTATTTTCTATTATATATGTAGCTAATTTTTCTACCAATTTATAAAAATCTGACGTTACGGTAAATATGTGTTTCAACTGCTTCATTAGTACTGCGGTACTTGTTGTTTGTAATTTAAAAATTTCGGTTTTTTTATGTTTAATTCTGTCCACCTTGAGTAGTTCGTCGACCTCTATAGCTCCCTCGTCTGGTTTAAAGTTACTAACTATAAATTGTTCGTTTTCAAAACTAGTATTAGTAATAACAATTATGTCCTCAATCTCACATTCGTCTGAAAATATAGAATAAATCGAATTTTCTTTCGACCGTTGCTTAATTTTAAGATATGAACGAAAGTATTTTTGCAGGCTAAAGTCGTTATGATCGTCTGTTGATATTAAATCGGTTTTTGTGATTTTCGACAACTCTTCGTCGGGAGTACTACCTTCCTTATGTTTAACTTGCAGCAATCGAGACTTCCATTTTTCCTCGTCATTTTTTCGGTATTGAAAAACTACATCGTCGAATTTTTCAGCTTCTAATAAATCCGACGCTAAACGAAAACTGGTGTATTGACATTGTATGGCGCGCCATAAACACAACATTAACATCTTTAGTTGATAAATATTGCCATGGAATGACAGCTTCAGTCCACTACCAGTCCATTTCCTGTTGTCTTTTAATTTTTTCAATGCCGGCTCGTCGTGGCTTCCAAGTTCGGTATTTTTTCTCTTCCTGTTATCGCTTTGTGAGGTGTCCATTATAATACTATTACGTTGTATTGTATCCGACGAGGTGTCCGTCTTACTAGTATCTATTGAGAGGTCTATCATGGCTCAAAATGTCTATACAACCGATACACTGCGTCGTGCTGTCATTGAAAGCATATGACAAACGACTCGAATAGTAGTTCAAATGTACACTGACTACGTTCGAGATGGATTTAAAAAACGGAAAATTGGTTTATTGAAACTTACCGGTTTGAGTTGAATCGTTCAGGTGCGCTTGCCAGTGTACGTGATAAGGCTGTTGACAACCGCGGGTCGTAGTCCTCGTTGATACGGTTTGGGCGACGATTAACAGTCCAAGAAATCACCGCTAGATGGCGACTTGTAATTAAGACGAACGCGAACAGCTACACTCTGTTTATGGCGGGAAACCGATGTCGATAACACTATGACACTGTACACCGGCTGCTGAAACGGGTTGACAGGGGGGGGGGCGTTCCGTTGAATCGACGACCGTTGTCTACAAGGTGCACGACCCGACTGAACCGACAATCATATAGTAAATAGGTACCAGTTACCGCAGAAATTTTAATATTTTAAAACTGCCACACGGTCCTCCTATCAACCAGGTGTCCAGTCGCCCAGGGTGACCAACTGTACACCGATTATGTCATTAATTATTATCCCGCCTGTGTTTTTAATCGTACCAATGTAAACGTGCTAATGTGATTGTTGTAATACTTATCAGTAAAGCCCGGACGATTATGACTTTGCATATTTTTTCAGCGAAATCAGATTCACACTCAAATACAATATGATATAAATTCGATTCACAAAGGCTAGATTTCATATCGACAAACGTCTTATATATTGGCATATATTTGCCTACAATGATTATTTCCAGATTAGTAGCAAATAGTAGCAAAGACAATTATGCACAGTATGAGAAAAAGTATTAAACGAAATTTCTGGTAATAAAATATTGTCCAGCATTTCTAAAGGAATCTTTATTGTTCTGTTAAACTTGAAAACACCACGAAAATAATTGTATTTAAATGTAAAATAGGTACCCTTTTTCAATAGTTAAGCCATTAGTCGGCTATTAGAAAACGCGGCAAACATTTTTAACCGATAAGGCGCGTACTAATATTATGTATTATATAATTGTATATTTTGTCATTTTAAAATCCTTTTTTTTTTAATACAATTACGGTCATCAATATCTGAGCTTGACTAATCGGTATCATGCTCATGGGAGGAATGATGGAGAAATACCCCTCCTCCCCGCCAATTATATTAACAACTTTGATTCCATTGTCATGGTCATAGTTTTTTAACAAAATAGGCCTTACGCCATACTAGTTAATCATAGTAAAATAAAACGACCAATTGAAAATAACTGTTCAGATATTGCTTAGCATATTATAAAAATTCGGTTTACTTTTTTGAATTTAAAAAGAACTGCCGTTTCTTTTCATTCAAGTAGATTATAACAGAGGGGAAAACAAGGATTATATTATTATTAAGTATTTATTAGGATTATACAGGGGTTTCGCGTTCTTACGTGTACTACCTACCTGGTTAACAAACCTCATTGGTAAATGGGTTCAACAATTAGGTATTATTTGGCATTCATTCAATATGGGTCCTATAACGCGCCTACCTAAAACTGGCACGTGACCTCATGTTCATATTTTCCTAGTGTGTTCACTACTATTACTGCTATTACTACTATCACTACAACTATTAAGAGAACAATTAGGTCGTAGCTATTTTTTTTACTTACAGGTAATTTTCAAATAAATTATGTTAAACAGTAATTATAATAAAAATAAATTTGTTTTATTATTAACTCAGTGATAAGATAAATCAGAAATATAGTTTTTTATAAAAAAAAAAGTAATAAAACAAACCTATTTAAAACCACTTTACGTAACAAATCAAGTTTTGCTTAATTAACGGGTAACTAATAACAATAGTTAAATTATGAAACTCTAAATAAGTTAAATGATATTTTATGCACGACTTAGCTTTAATTTCAATTGGTTTCAGAATAGACTTGTTTAGATCTAATACTTATTACGGAAGTAATTACTTGTAAGTACGACGCCAGGGTTCATTGGCCACGTAGAACGTTTTGCTGTGATTCCCATATTGACATTATCTGAACAAAACTGAAACAAATTTTCTTATTACTGTTTAAAAAGGAAATCTTTAAATAAATAAAACAGCATAAGCCTAGTACCGGTTGTTTTGGTGGTGTTTTAATAGACCATCTAAATCGCATTGTCTTAGACATCAATGTGATCGTTTTGCATTGACAATGGTACATCAGATTGAGTCCATTTGCCATCATTTTTTCATATTAATGATTTATTGTTATGTTTGTCGATTTCAAACCCACTGTAGGTTAGTTTTAGTGTAATATAACATGTAGTAATCTTAAATTAATTAAAATAAAATTGCATAAAGCCATAATTGAAAAGGCTAGAGTGGACTTGTTTTTAAAATTACACGGGCAGTGTACAAGCTCCATAAAAGAATGTGATACTTCAAATAAATAAAAAAATGACAGTTTAACTTAATAAAACTAAGTTCAAAAATATAAACCGTAAAAAACAAATAATAAGTAAGCGCATAGTATAAGTCGTACACAATTAAAGTTGGTAAAACATTTGAGTTACATTCTAATTAAAAATACTAACAAATAAATACTGGAGGAGAGTTATTAATAATTCTGATTTGGTATAATAAGTGTTACATTAAATGTAAAATTACAATTTTTTTTAATAAAACTTATGACTTGTTTCCTATGTGTTGTAACACAAGGTATTAAAAAAAAAAAGTATCAACATGTAATATTACAAACAGACATAATTATATAAATTAAAAACACCGATATTAGAAATTTAATTTTAATTTTAAATAACATACAATTTTTATAAATGTCAAATAAAGTAGAGTTCATTGAATAAAACATAACATACGTTGTACATTGCATATAATACAATGTATACATTGTATAATCAAAATTGAGATAAGATTAAGTTTATTGCTTAATGGTATCAATATAAATAGCAATAGAGCCTACAGTTTTCAAATTATTCTACAGGGAATACTGAATAGTTATAGTTCAATCAACATCAAGGATATTTTAGAAAGCCACCGAGCCTAAAATTACCACGTTGAAGCAGGAAGAAAATGTTGACTCTTCAGATTAGACTTTAGAACCTTCATTCTTGACCTTATTGTTATGATGCAAATTTACAACAAAAAAAACATATTTGTTACATTCTTGTAGACATTTTTATGTCCTCAATCATTCCTCTTCATTGTCAACAACACTATTGTCGATACTATCATTATCGCTATTGTTGTCATTATTATCGTTATCATTATAACTGCTAATATTACTATTATAACGATAAACCTGTTCTAATGATTTAGATTTTATATCCCATTCGCGTATGTGGTTTTTTTCGCGTATTTTATCAAAAAATCTTCGTACAACCTGATAGTCGTCGTGAAATAAAAGTCTTGCTAAATATGGTTTTACTTTACTATCATTATAATATTTTTCAAACCTTTTCTGGATCGCATCTGCAACGAAATATTCAGCATAAGTTCTATGCGTGAACTCGAAATTATTACCATGGTGGAAACGTATTAGTCCTATACGACTCAATTCTTCTAAACGTCTACTACTAAGATCTATGTCGTTATTTTTAAAGAAAACGAGCATTTCGGCTTCACTCAACAACTCCTTAACTGCCAATATCCAATGTTGTTTGGATAATGTATTTGTAATACTCTCCCGTATGCCCTCATCAATATTACCTTCTGATTTTTCTTTAAAATATATCTTGTATTTTTCGTTTATAATTTTCTGATATATTGTCGACACGTCGAGATATTTAAAAACCAAATCATAATTTTCGAAACTTTGAGTTTCGATATATATTCTTTTAAAAATATTTTTAAGCTCCTCTGCAAATAAATATAGTTGCAACGGTGATCTCATGATTCCATCTCTCTCGTCTCTCTCGTTACCAAGAAATTGATTGATATGTTGTAGTACATTTCCTAAAAATCTCGAATCGACCCCAAAACAACAGTCTAATACGCTCTCTTTTGCAAACAGGCTAAGATGCATCGACAAAAATGAACTGAAAATCTTCTTGATTTCATCTTCTTTAAATTGTTGAAATTTGGTCTCGATAAAATCCGATTCGTCTATCAAGGGTTTTATTTCTTTAACGTTTCGCGAAGTTATTAACATGGTAACTTTGCCTTTCAAAAAGTGTATTAACGTAAGAACTTTGTTTCTATCATCACTCTTGACTTCATCAAAACCATCGAACAATAATAAAAGTGGACAATACACTTTTTTACTAGGCGATAATTGATAAAGTAATATATTTTTTATTAGAACTAAATTGGTATCAAAATTTCCTGAATCCAATAGAAATTGAACTGAACTTTCTGTATTGTGCAGGGATTTTGGAGCCAATTTGTTTATAGCATTTTGACAATCTTTAAGGTTCACACGCAATACCCAGTTTTCGCTTTTTTTTTCATCGGCTAGTTTATCTAAAGTTGTTGTCTTTCCCATCCCTGGTTCATCGATGAGAACAATCTTATTTTTGTTATTTAATTTCGTTGAAAATGTAGTCTCGTTTAAATCTTTATCGCTTTCATTCATATTTGTATACCAATCCTTCATACGATCACCAAAATCTTGGTGACAGACAATCTTATTTGATTTTTTCTTTACTTCGAGACAATAAATCTTAGTTTTGTTCTCCTCGGTGTTACAATCATTTCTTAGTATACTTTTTAACTTATTATATTCCTTTTTGGCACTAGGTTTCGTATTCAATAGTATAATTTTTTCTTTCTTTATATTATCCTCTATCTTACCCCATTCGTCATTTACACAGAGTATTTCTCTTAGTTTATTTTTATTATTTCTTGCTGATTTTCCTTCCGTAAAATTAAAAATAAAATATTCTTCAAGGTATTTGTTAGTCAATAGTTTTTTTATCTCACTACCAATTATTACTATTTCATCTCTATACTTTAAGTACCTATTAACATAAAACTTTGGGTTATAAAGTTGTTTCCAAATTAATTGACCATTTAATTCCCAACTAATCCAATAAACTATTTCGTTTGGCTTTCTGTGACACAGTTTTCTAAAAAAATCGTAAGACTCGGTTGGATTTGTTTTAATTATACGAACTGGTTTATCGTTTTCACCATCAACACTAAAATCTACTATATCATTTATTATGTTTGTAGCCTTTTCTGAAGACATTGATATGTTTTTGATCTCTTTCAATAGCATGTTTTTTGTTATTGTAGTTTTCTTCGTACTTGTTATTAAAAAAAATCTGTCTTTATGTATTTCGCCAAAATCCTGGCGCCCTTCATCAGTAAATCTAAACAAATTAGATACAAGATTACTAATTAAAATTTTGTCATAATTATTATAATATGCTTTATCCCAGTAACTTATTGGTTGAGGTGGCTTGCCAATACTAATTACTTCTTTTTTAATTATTTTAACAAACGTGTCCGAATCTATTATGGACTCTGCTTTTTTTACTATATCTTCTTTATTTATTAATTTATGTAGTTCAATTTCCTCCCCTTGTAAAACTATTGAGTTACTTAAAAATTCTTTTTTTGATCTTTCAGTGAGATTTTTAAAAGTAGCGTGGTCTTCTCTTTTTTCGTATTTATGTCCATTAGCTGCTAACTCATCAATTAAAGGATAGCCATTTTTCTCAGTAAGAAATATAATCTTTTTGCTAGCGTTTGTCTTTATAATATCAGAAATCTTTGTAGACAATGTCAAATCAGTTTCTTCAGTATTACAATCGATAACCATCAAGTTAAACTTTTTCTGATCTCCAAAACCTTTCAATACTACTGATAAAAAATATTTCTCATCTAATAATTGTTTTGAATACAAAAATATATGACCATCGCTTTGTGTATATTTATGTAATCCAGAATAATTATAAAATTTTTGTAATTCCTGAAATGTCTGTACAAACCTTATGCGACCAAGTGGCAAAGAGTTACAAACAATGTTTAAGATATTTTGATCTTCATTTAAAAAAGAAACCAATTGTTTATATTCCTCAAATTGAACATGGAATTTTTTAGTAATAAAATGTATATCATGAAAATAAAAATCATTACTACCTT